CTTCCTCCCACCTATCCCCTCCTCCCACCTCAAGCCGCACCTCCATCTCCTACCGACTAACCTCATCCCGCCCCCTTGACCTGTCCGTCCTCCCTGGACTGACCTATCTCCTCCCTACTTCCCCACCTACACTCACCTTTACTGGCTCCATCCCCGCCTCTTCGACCTGTCTGTTTCCTCTCCACCTATCCTCTCCTCTATCCATCTTCTATCCGCCTCCCACTCTCTCCCTATTTATTTCAGAACCCCCTTCCCCTCCCCCTTTTCTGATGAAAGGTCTAGGCCCGAAACGTCAGCCTCTCTGCTCTATCAATCTTCACAATGCCCTCAGTGGGGCCTTCTTTAGCTGAATGTCCAGGCTGCATTCCTGTTCAAGGCTGCAAGCAGTCTCGGCAGTACCTGCCACTTCCAGTGGTGCGACTGTGACAAAAGAATGTCTGGCCAGGCAGACTATTTCTTTGAAGGGGGCAGAACATCTCCCTGAAGCCAGTTAAAACTCTATGGCTGTAAAATCACTGTAGGACAAATCCAATTCAGCCCACAGCTGTTTTGTTTCACTCTTTTGTCTAAGAATGCAACACAACCTCTTCCCTGATTGGTGACATTTATATAATCTATTATCGCATAGCTTCTACAAAAGATCATAGCATCTACAGATGCTTGAACTGGATTCAGTTGAGCCTGTCATTGTTGATCAATTTCCAACTGGACATAAACAATGTGCCTCTAATTTTCGATGAGGGGTCTTCTGCCATAATTAGAGTCGTGGAGATCTGCAGCACATTAAAAGGCCCTTCAGCTCATTGGTCAAAAAGAACCACCAAAATTCTCTAATCCAATTTTCCAGGACTTGGCCCATGGCCTTGTTTGCCTTGGCATTGCAAGTATACCATCCAGACACTTCTTAAAAGTTATGAGACTTTCGGCCTCTACCACTCTTAAAGACAGTGAGTTCCAAATTCTCACCACCCTGTAGGTGGAAAAAGTTTTTCTTCAGATCGCCTGTAAACCTTCTGCCCCTTTCCTTAAATTTAAGCCCGTTGGTCATTGATCCCTCTATCAAGGGAAAAGGTTTCTTTCTGTCCACCCTACCTGTGCTGCTCATAATTTTATATGTCCTAAACATGACCCCCCTCAATCTCCTCTGCTCTAAGGAAAACAACCCCAGTCTGTCCAAGAGGTAGTAGGAACTGCAGATGCTGGAGAATCTGAGATAACAAGGTGTAGAGCTGGATGAACACAGCAGGCCAAGCAGCATCAGAGGAGCAGGAAGGCTGACGTTTCGGGCCTAGATCCTGGCCCGAAATGTCAGCTTTCCTGCTCCTCTGATGCTGCTTGGCCTGCTGTGTTCATCCAGCTCTACACCATGTTATCCCAGTCTGTCCAATCTCTCTTTATAATTGAAACTCTCCAATCCAGGCAACTCCTCTGCACCCTGTCCAATGCTGAAATTATCTTTTCTGTCAAAACTGGCAAAACTAACTGGTAGCATCTGTGCATTTTAAGCTGATTTATTAAAAGGAAAAGATTTCTCAACTTGGCATCTCTCATAATGCCAGGAGGCCCCAAAGCACTTTACAGTTGAGGAAGTATTTTTGATGTGCAGTCACTTTTGTGAGGGAAAAACATGACAAGCAATTTGTACACAGCAAGCTTTCACTAACAACAATATGAAATGCTCCCAGAAAGATTACTGATGAAAATGTTTTAAAATGGCTAAAAATAAACGCTGGAACTGAAAAAAATATAAAAAATAAACATGAAAAATTTTCAAATGTTTTAAAAATGCAAACATTGCTTCTATTAGATTTTAAGTTCTAATTTTTCCTCACTCTCCAATCTCCTTCTGTCCTACTTTTTAATACTTCATCTCTATTTTTACAAACAAATTGAACATACAATCTATCTATTTTAAATTTCTTTTCACATCAAAATTTAAAATACATTCCTTGTTACATTTCTTTCCATTGGAATGCACTCTCCAAATGACCTATAGCTCAAAGCTAGCTCTGAAGTCTATTTTAACAGCTAATGCAGTTCCTCAATTTTAAGGATGACATATAAGAATTAATCATACCAAAAAAAGAGCTGTCACTGTTTGATCCTTAAGATTACTAGTCTAGCTGCATCATACTACGCAGAAGGAAACCATTCACCCCACAGTGTTTGAGCCAGCTCTTTGAAACAGCACTCCAAGTAACCCTGCTCTGCTGCTCTTTTCTCATCACATGGTCATTTTACTTTATCAGTTACAGATACAATTTGTTTTGAAAGTTACTATTCAGTTTTTAGATACTGTATTCTTGATCTCATAACTTGTTCAGAATTAAGGAAAATAATCTGTTTTTGTGCTTAAATCTGGTTTATATTAAATTAGAACTGAATTACCCTTCTATATTTCAGCAGTTTTCATGATTTCACTGTTGGAGATCATGGCCTAAAACCAGATCAACCTCCTGTGTTGGGTAACATCTCATCTATTAGGATAGTAATACAAGCCAATGACATTGTAGAAGGTATTATAGAGATTGATCCACAGTTCCTTCATATAGAAGGTAAGCATTCCCCCAATCCCTCAAAATGATGTATCAATGACAGCGAAAGCATATAAACTCTGATTCTGCAATGCCATCAAAGCTCTGCTGATCGAGATTGTCACTCCAAGAATTGGGGATACAATTTTGCCACAGGCTATCTTCATTGGGTGGAATTATGGTTTATGTAGTTAGTGTGTAATAAGATTTGAGGTGAAGAAATAATAGTGGTTTTGTCAATTGAAGCTGATTTATAAGCCACTGTTGGCAAATAAAAATGTTTTGTAAAATACCATATTATAATTCTTTCATTATGGTCTCTGTACATATTTGATTCTGTCCCAGAGACTCTCAACATACAGAAGTATTTAATGTTTTAATATTTTCTAACAGGGAGAAAGTGAATGTAGCAGAGAAAATAGAATGGAAAAAAACCCGAGTATTTTGAATGAATTTACTGATTTAACGTACAGTTGGATTATATTGTTAATTCTATATTGCTGCATGAGCGCACAAATATCACAAATTTTTATGGAACTAGTTAAAATTAGATAAAGTGACTGCATAAGCATTTAATGAAGATTAACAGTTATCAACCCTGTTTTTGATTATGCAGTTGAGGAGGACATTGGGATACTTGGAATTCCTTTGATAAGAAAGTGGGGGACATATGGATTTGTCACAGCGGAGTTTGCTTCTCAAGCTATCACAGCAACTCCCAACGGAGTTGACTACATTCTACCTAACGATACAGTCCTATTCTACCATGGACAAAAGCAGGCCTTCATCAATGTAACCATTATTGATGACATAGAAAGGTAAGAGAAATACTTACTAAAGTATCAAAAGGTTGGAGTTTGAAATTGGCCATCAGATTAACTATCTGTTAAACTGACTCCTATACATTCATGAAATTCATACAGCAGATTGGACAAAACTGTTTGACTATAGCATTGTAATAATATTCCAGAGAAAACATATGAATAATACAGCTCAGCATGTACCCGATTCACAGTTTAGGCAGAAAATATCACAACAGACGTGTTACCATGGCATTACTATTCGGCAATCTTGGATTAAATTTTACAGCCTTCCAGGAATGGAATGATAGGAGGCTGCTCTAGAGGTGGTGGCATTCTCTTAGTATTGCACAGAAATGACAGCCTGTATTTATAGGGTTTAGTTCTGGAAACATATTCTCTGACTGAGAATCAAGGGTGACCACTTAAATGGAAAAAATATGTTGCAAGCAATCCTTCAAGATTAAGTGGTCCAGTGCAACATGATTATCTGTCTGCTATCTTATGCTTAATGCTGATAAAATACTTTTGGAAATAGCCTAGATCACTCATTAACATGAGCAAATTAAAAATAAAGATGGTCAATGTATCTAAACCTTGTAAATTCTGTTTTTTTTAGAAACGGTCATTGGGACAACAATCTTTTTTCTCGTATTTCATAGCAGATACATCTATTGTTTCATTTTTATGTTCATTGATAACATTTCTTGTACAGTTTAAAACTAGATCAAACATTGAAATTATTTGCCTGCAGTGAGCTTGAAGAGGAATTTGAGATTCACTTGATAGCAGCAACAGGAGGTGCAATACTTGGAACACAACTAACCACCAGAGTAACCATTCGTAAAAGTGACTCCATTGGTGGGACCATTCGATTTCTAAACCTAACCCATCTGGTCATCCCTAATCTCAATGTAACGCAGATATTAACGCTGATACTGGAAAGGACTGGAGGATTTTCTGGGGATGTGCAAGTAGGTTTGAGCTTATCCCTATAAGAGTTTGTATATTCTTGATGAATGGCTCATTACTGTGTTTCATTGGGGATGAAAGTTAACCATGACACTCGGGGAATTCTTTATTCCTAAAATAAAAAGTGCCATATGACCTTTTACGGTGAGAGTCTGGTTAATGTGATCCAAGCATAAATTACTATAAAACTTCAGAATTCTTTATGAAGCATTGAAGGTCAATGATCAATATCGTGAGATTGGTATGAAGTCGGCAGACATTAAGATTTATTGTATGTTTTTTAAACATCCCTGTTTTAATTGCACCACTATTGCATCAATCCTTGGCAAACTTGAGCCCTGGAATTTCCTCCCTAAGCATCTCTCCTTCTCTATCACTCTTTGATTTGCCTTTAAGTTGCTCTTTAAGACATGGCTTTTGTTATCTCTCCTAATATCTAATATCTACTGGAGTAACTTGTTATCAAATTTTGTTAATATTTCTGTCAAGGAAGCACTGCAGAAATTCAGCAAGGCTCCTGAGACAGCACCTCCCAAACCCATGACCGCTACTGCCTGGAAGGACAAGGGCAGCAAATACACTGGAACACAATGACCTGCAACTTACAGTCCAAGACCCTCGCCATCCTGACTTGGAAATATATCACTGTTCTTTCACTTCGCTGGGTCAAAATCCTGGACCTCCCTCTCTAATGACCTTGTGGGCCTACAGAAACCAAATAGATTTCAGTGATTTGAGAAAGCAGCTCACTAACACCACCTCACGGGAAACTGAGGATGGCGAATAAGTGTTGCCCAGCCAGTAACTTCTACATTCCATGAGTGAATAAAAAAGCAAAAGTGACTTAAGATATTTTACTTGATATGTGTAGGAATTGGTAAATCCTACACCATTTGAGCGACTTGTAATGTCCTCATAGTAACTAGTGATGGACAATAAACATGGCCTTGCTAGTGTCACCATATCCTCAGAAAAAATAATATCTACAGTAAAATCTTTGATTTCTGACATGCTGAAGGAATAGACTTTGTAAAAAATGCCAGTTAAGAGAGCCAAGAAGTGGAGTCTTCATTACTGTGGCATGATTAATGATGAGAAAATTGGGAAAATATGACGAGAATGAAAGAAGTTTGATTCTCAAAAGAGAAATGTCCCGACTTTCATTCAAGACTTAAGTAGAGACATCAGAATCTTGCTACTGAAAGATGATTATCTTATTTCCATGAATGTGTAGCTCATTAAACCCTTAATTGTGTTAGTTATGTACCACTTCCAATTCTCCTCTCCACCATGGAGAAAGTAGTTGATACAAATTCTTAACATGAAAATCAGAGTGAAGAACTGCTGGCTGCAGCTTGCCAAATAATTGTCTCAACCTTCATGTATTTACTACTTTACAACAATGTACCTGCATTTTCAGTCATGGGACATGGGCATTACTGGCTGGGCCAGCATTTGTTGCCCATTCCTGGTGTTGGTGAGCTGCCTTGAACTACTGCAGTCCATTTGGTGTGTTTACTACCTCAGTGCTTTTAAGGAGGGAATTCCAGGATTTTTAACCAGGACTCTTCAACTATGCAATTCGCCATCAGCACACACCTGCCTCACAGTAGCATCAGTCCAGCTCCTGGGCCAATTCAAATGCATGTCAACCCTTTAATACTTCACGTTAAAGCTCAGAAACACCTACCACTTGCATACTTCTCGTAGGTAGCTCTGTGCACAGGGATAGAGACACATCTGGTGCGGCCACATGGGGTACTTTTGCCCTTGTGTAAAATACGTACGTAATGACTATTAGCTTGCTTTCTTCTCCCTCACTTACTTTATCTCTTACTTGGAGATTGCCAACCTTTGCCGACTTCACAACGCTTTCTTAGCACACACCCTGACTTACTGGCTACCAGCTTCTGTGTAGCTTACGTTGCTTTCTTAATGCACAAGATTTTTCAAGCTCAGTTACAGCCTCTGTGGATTGTACTCATGTTTAGTGTACAGGGAGAGACAGGTGGCTTGTGATAGTGGGGAGCACTGAACAATTGATCTATTCGTCAGCTGGAGGGTCGCTATGTGGCACCATACTATGTTGATGACCTACCTGCAGCGTGTGTTAGTGGTTTACACAGCAAACAAGGTGAATATGCTTCAACCAAACGGCAATGTGTATAAGTCAAAGGGGAGCAGTTAGCCTGGGGGATACTGTCACTGAAGGAGCTGGTCCTCCTCCACTCAAAGGAGTTCATCACAGTCAGTCAGTCACTTGGCCCTACTAGAGTTTGGGATTGAGCCACGGTCAATCCTGCAAGTCACATGCAAGCAGTCTAGGAATTACAAGTGGATCAAGCCGGTTGCTGATGAGACATCAGTCTGGTGGCTGGGTCAGAATTTCCCACAGTGAGATGAGGGAGAGATTGAGTGTGATGGAAGTGATGCAAGAGCAGTTACTGATCATGCTTGAGTAGGAGAGATGGTGGAGTGTAACCATTGAATCAGTAGGAAGTGCAGAAGGCAGGAAAGGTCAAAGACCATGAATTGGATGAGACCTGCTGAATGGACGTGAAAGAATGTAACACTAAGAGTTATAGTCCTTGAATCTTGTTGATCTGTTAATACATTGACAAGAGTTAGAGTGAGTGCTGGCCCTGTGTGTATGAGGTAGCAGGGAGAAAGTGATGGCACTTTGGTTGTACTGCACAAAAGATTATTGGCATTCTTTCTGCATTGCTGGCTGTTCCTTTTCACTCCGGACATCGCACTGACCACGCTGCTATCTGCCCAGGCTGGCTGGGTCTAATGATGGGAGCTACTTTGATGATTTACAGAGAAAAGTAATGCTATCTACTCCACCCATTGACCAACTCCTCCAGGTTCCTCTCAGCGAAGCAGAGAAGCAGTTTGCCTTTCTTCTGGGCCGTATGTTCAGTGATAAAGGTGAGCACTACAGTTTGCGGGCCAGTTCCTGGCTTGTAGAGTCTGATGTGTTATACAGCTGGTATTAAATATGACACCAGATTCATGTACACCAGAAGGTCTCACCTTGGTGAGCACCACTGCCTCACTGGCCCCATGATTCCCTGAGAAAGGAGCCCAAGAGATTGGTTGTATCATTGAGGGAAATAGTGGAAGCTTACATGAGAAGCTTCACTCTGGGACATGGCAGTCGGGCACCATGAAGCTCTTTAGCCAATGCACTTCAACCCATGGTGTTGCTTTGTTTTTGAGGGGTTTAAAGAGAGAGAGGAAGCAGTTGGGAGGCAAGGACTCCATAACAACAGGGCTTCACCGTAAGATTCCAATAACTGAGGATGAGACTGGCACCACAACTGGCAACATGATCCTCAGACCAGCTTTTAACAAAACATTGAGCTGTCAGAAATTCCAGTGTCTAGACAACTCCAGTTGGTACCATGGCAGATAATACAATGTTTGCTGTACCTTAAACAATTGATCATGAAACCAGTGTACAATTTTTGCTTTGTACCATTAATTGGTCTAGCTGCATTTCTGGTCATCTCACAATTAATAGGTATCAAAACCATGGAAAAGTTTAAGGGGATAAGCACTTGAGTGATACCTAATTTTCACTAATTGTGTAAAGTATGCACATTGATAAATGTGATTCAGGTCTTTAACATAATAATGGAGTTGAATTCTGAGAGCTCGATTGAATTAGAGTTAGAGTGACAGGGTAGTACAAGTAATCAGAAATATCTCTTGTTACTGACCTCCAGAATGAGTATCCAAAGTATGCAGCGATTGTGCATATCCTTTAGTTTTTCAGTAGGATGTTGGACAAATTCCTGAGATCTTCAGCTTACTGAGATTTCAGCATTGTAGTAGAAACACCAACAAAGAGTAATTGTTACCAAAACTCCAGCTGCTCAAAGTTACAGATGAATTGGAGAGAAACTGAGGCATTGTGGATGACAACAGTAGTGAGATTGGGAACAGTCAAATGATGTGGATTATAAGAGAGAGATATATAATTGCCAGAGATGGCTAATGAATGGTTGGGAACTCCAATATTAAAGAAACAAGAGGCAGCCAGGTCAAGGGGATGTTGCATAGCGAGCTTTATTTTCCTTAAGGTGCAATTTAATTGAGGTTTTTAAGAAAATTTAAAGAGTTGATAGGATAATAAAATTGTTCTGGGGAAGTCCAGAATGAGATATAAATATTAAGCCAATCAGGAATTATATTATTGGGCATTTCTTCACATAAATTACAATAAAAATCTAGAATTTCCTCAATCAAAAAGTTATTGGAGTGTAGACCAATTGTGCATACAAAATGGACTCAGCTAGACCTTTGTTAAAGGTTTATATGAATGGTAATGTTGAGTGAAGTTAATGGCAGAGAAGTCAAATGAAATGGAGGAGTATAAACATAGCTTCAAACCACCATGGATAAGGCATCTTTTGGTGCAATGAAAAGAGACTGAATCCACAATGTTTTCAATAAGTTATTTGTTTATTTCTGCACATACAGTCAAAATGATTTAGACTAAGCAAAAGGGTACCTTTATGAAACAGTAGTAATTTATTACTTTATGCAACTGATGAGCAGCCTCTTCCTTTCTTGGATATTTGACTGGACATCATGCACAATGTCTTTGATCATCAGAGGTTGGAAAATGATATATAAAAGATTCAAAGCTGTGCTTCCAACAGGCGAGGTTCATCTTCCTTCCCCCTCCTCATCTGAACAATAAGTTGGGGGGTTCAGGATGTCAAAACATATTCCTGTTAAACTATCCTCCACCTGGAGTAATGTACGTTTCTGTGATGCTAGGAACTCACCATTTAATTTGTTTTCTTAGATAAAATGGAACATTCTGGGTCCAAACTCAGAAGCAATCTTGCCATCATCCAACACAGACATAAATGACCCCGTCAATGGAACATTCTTTTTTAGAGATGGGGAGACTGGGAATAGAATCATGGAATTGAGTGTCTTGCCCCATGAAGAAATTGAAATACAAGAGACTTTCATCATCCAACTTAGCCTGGACTTTGGTGAAGCAGAAATTGACCATAAGGCTGGAAAAGTGTTTCTAACAGTATGTGATTATGTGACGAATAATGCTGTTTCAATTACAATATGCACACATAAGATCCTGTTAATTAGCTGTCCTTTTAAATATGCATTGCACTTCAGACTTAATATGATAAAGTAATGTTTTATTTGTATGTTAACAATGGGTAAATCATTCATTGAAATAGAGTTTTTGAATAATGTGCTCAAAATGTTCCCTGCAGTCCCACTTCCATTAAATCCTGAAGGTGTATGCTTTTGGCATTGTTCTTTCAATCAAATCTTTACTAAAAATGCATTATTCAGAAGCTTTTACAGTTATTATTGTTGTTATCCTGAAGCTATAACCCTAAGTAACATATTTTTGGACATTTTTAAAATTTCATTATTCCTTCCGCACTTGTCTCTATTTCGGATCTCTGAGATGTATGTATCATCATGGAGAAGAACCAATGAACTGGCAGGCCCTGCTTCCTAGATACAACCTACACCACTTTTGAATGAATTTATAAAAATTGTGTGATCATGGCCAAGTGATAGCATCCTCTAATGCCTTCCGCTCAGTTTCTGAAAGCAAAAAACAGGCCTGCAGCATGGACGGATGTTTGAGCTTCAGAAAATTAGAGATTGAAGCCACAGCCTGTGATACTTTGACAGTAATATTTTTGGTGCTCTCAATATGCTGCACCTATTATGCTGTCACTTTGAATCAGCAAAAGTGAAATGACTAACAAAATTTTGTAACACAAAAATTGTATTTAAATTCATGTTTTCATACAGTGTGATTTTGCTTTGGGGTTAGATGTGAGATATTCCTGTATATCTGAGACTGGGAAGATTTATAATGAACAAAACTACTTTTTGAGAAAGACCATCAATAATTTTTAAAATTTCAACAATTATGTTTTTTTGTTGTTTCCTTAGGTACAAAAAGTTGGTAATCCCAATGGAATAGTTCAGTTCACCGAGGAGTCATTGTACATGAAAACTTTTCTGGAGCCATCTAGTCAGGAAGAACTGTTGAATATTACATTCTTTATTACAAGAACTAAGGGAAAAATGGGGAATGTAAAGGTAATGTTGACTTACAACATTGTTTTACTTTTGATTTAGTTGAGTGCTTTCTCATTACATATCGAAGTTCTTTTGCAATTGTATATTATGCAATACCATATGTAAACAATTTGATTCAGTGAAAATCATGGTTCTAGATAATTGCTAGTCTTAGTTACTTGGATTCACTTCAGGGAAAACAGTTGACTATTTTTATGACACTTCGTTTTATAGCTGTTCTGTATGAACAGTGTTTTGCAAGTTGGAGATAACTAAACATTTAAATTACAGAAGCTTGTTGGAAGAAAGGAGCTTTTCAGCTTGTCTCCTCTTTCTGAAGCACATTTATGATGAACACCATGTAAAACCTAATTTCCCTCTAGATTGACAACTGGAGTACTTATCAATCTCTTGTTTCCTGAGAAAGCTGCATCTGACAAGACCTCAGACACATCTAACAATATTGATAACGTTGTACACCTGCACAGCATCAGACTGACAGTCATTTCATCATTCCACAACTTGTCTTTTTTAATATTTTTAATCCACCTGTACAAACATGTGATCATGTACCTCCCGGGCAGGTGTGACTTGAACCTTGGTCACGTCGCCCTGAGGTAATGCCACTACCACTGTACAACAATATCCCTTTCAATGTGAAATGACAGGAAACCAAATTTCACTTGGGCAATGGTTTGGCAATCTTGTCAGATTTGAGCATTTCAGCACCAATAAGGGCATAAAACCTTCAATGCTTTCAACAAGGGTCAGCTCAGGTGATAACTTGTATGATCTATAGAGCAGCTCTCACTTTGATCGGATGTGATGAAAGTGAACCAGGTATGCGGTTATTGCCGTAGGTCGGCATAATACAATTGGAGAGACTGAGCCTCATCTATAGGGGTCAAACAGGAAGAGGTAATCCCAGTATCTGCATAGACCAGATCAAATCACCTCAAAATATATTGAGAAGGTAGCCAAACTTCTTTTTACTTCTAAAGGAAAGTGTGAGGTGTTGTGTTCCGGATGAAATTCGATTGGTCAAAGTACTGGGCTTGAAGCACAACCCACTTTATTTTTATACTACAGTTAAAATACAAACAAAAGAAAGAAGAATTAGTATAACAACTCTATTGGAAAACTTAACAGAATAGTAGGTTATTTAACTACCAAACAGCAACTGCTCTAATATAATAATATCCCATAAATACACCCTTGGTAAAGGCAAATTCAGTAAAATAGATTGTCTCACAATTCAAACAGCAGGAAGAGAATCCAAGCTTCTAGCAATAACAGAGAAGAATAACAGCTTCCACATCCAGCTTCAAGACCCCAGCAACTTCTGAAAGTTAAACTAAAATCCTTGTTCTGTGTGAGTTTGACCCCACCCCTTCATGCTGCTTCTATTGTTCCAACTTGTTAAGAAAAAACAAAGCTCGCTGGACTCAGCAGACAGCTCAGCTCCAAGTTCACAACACTTGCATTCAAAAGAAACATGACAAAACAAATTCTTAAAGGCACTTCTTGAAGCATGAAACAATGGAAATGCAACAACAACAGAGCAGCAACAACAAATTACATAGACTGACAGTACCCAGGGAAGGATAGTACCGCAGCTGAACAGTCGATAATAACACCTATGAATAGCAAAAAGAAACTAGCATAATTTAAATACTATATATGTAAAACCACCTGAGGAAGTGTCACCGGACCCGAAACGTTAACTCTGATATTTTCTTCACAGATGCTGCCAGACCTGCTGAGCTTTTCCAGCAACTTCTGTTTTTTGTATGTAGAAACTAATTACGAATGCAGAAGACAATTTTACACATTATTTACCTTGACTGGGTTCTTTGAAGAGGGGAATGTTTGCAATGAAGTGCAACACTGTACCAATGAGCTTCCTGCTTTGTGATAGTCCTACGATCACTAACATGAATCATGGACTAAGGGAATCCATCTTGCAGTCAACATCAGTAAAGTCACAATACAGGTCAGACTGTGCCTTAAGATCATGTAACAATACTCTTGCCAAAAAAAGTCAAACCCCAATTTTGAAATTTTTAGCTGACCAATCTTCAACATTTTTTTTGGGATGGGAGTGTTCTAATTCCCACTCTGATGAAGCTACACACTAAATGGTAAACCTAATACGGCCCCTCATGTTAATCATAGCTTGATTATTTCTAACTAAATTATATTATTCAATTTGTGTGTTGTCAAGCCATCTTTCAAACTGATAGCCTCCCGAAATGGGTAGAGTATTTGACACCTATGTGGCAGAGGAAATAGAACACCATTAAGTTCTCAAATGTTACATAACCCATGAACTTTATGTCTTCAAACATTAATGCAACGCATTTTATTGTATATATTTCTAATCAACCTTTTCAGACATGTTATTGCACACCCCTGGAATAGGTGGAACTTAAACCATGGCCTCCTGGCTTAAAGGTGGGGTCACTACCACTGCACCAGGAGCCCCTAAACATTTTATTGTATACTTACAATGTTTGGTAAGATAAGGAGCAATTTACTAGATTATGGCATCAGTGCAGACAAGAAGTTTGATAAACCTGACCC